GGGGTAAAATGCCGGCTTCGGGTGGATGGGGGGGGAGGAGCGATTCCCCCCTCATCCACCCGAGCCGCGTGAAAATGCCAGCTTCGGATGGATAGGGGGGAGGAGGGATTCCCCCCCGCATCCACCTGAGCTGGGCTCAAGGAGGGGGGAAGCCGGGCTGGCTAGCTGGCAGTGCTTTGCCATGATCGGAACCGATCATGGCAAAGCAATGCTTAACAGCTGATTGGTGGTTTCAAAATGGCCGCCGGCTGTTTTGTCTCACTTAAGAAGCACAGAAAATGGCCGCCCCTATGGAGGATCTTCGCTGAACGGTGAGTTTTCAGTCCATTGGAATGCATTAATTGGGTTTTAATGCGTTTCAATGGGCTTTTTTATTTCCCTTTACGATGTTTCCGTATAGCGATGTTAATCCTGGAATGGATTAACATGGTTTCAAAATGGCCGCCGGCTGTTTTGTCTCACTTAAGAAGCACAGAAAATGGCCGCCCCTATGGAGGATCTTCGCTGAACGGTGAGTTTTCAGTCCATTGGAATGCATTAATTGGGTTTTAATGCGTTTCAATGGGCTTTTTTATTTCCCTTTACGATGTTTCCGTATAGCGATGTTAATCCTGGAATGGATTAACATCGCTATGCGGGGCACCACTGTATTCAAAATACCACTTCATGACCCCAGAGGCATGCAGGTAATAAAGCAACCCAAGTCTGAGGGTATACTGTATTTATTTTGGGTTTGTACACATTGTTATGTAGAAAGTGCCTAATTTTGCAAGGCTATAATCCGATCATGCTGACTGGTGGAATTTTTGACTGACTGGTGAGACATTCTGAAAAATTTTAAGCCTTGAGCATGGGCTTCCCTGCCCTGCTTCCTTGGCTGATCTTCCACTCAGACAAGGTGGCAGGACAGGCAAACCCATGCTCCTGCTGGGGAATGGTCCAACAGCCAAAGAAGAGGAGAGGTGCGCACTTTGACTGGTGGGTAGGTCATTGGCCCAGGAGGTGGGGGAAGGGAACCAGCATTAACCTCCAAACCAAGGTTCATGTCCATCTCTAGTTTTGATGGTGCCATATGACACTCAGTTATATGTACCAGTTCTAGCTGTTACAAAGTGAAAGGTGTTGTCTGTGAACTTTTATTTTCTGGTGAGATCACCATAATACACTCTTAGTGAGCCTGCAACTCATGAGAGATGATATGGACAGAAACGTGGTGAAGTGACATCTACATACATTGGAATCTGATGTTTTACTTTTTTGACTATATCTTCCACAGTCCCCCAGCCACACTTTGCAAACTGTAGATATACAGCTCATAAATCAAAACGAGAACAAAAATCCAAACATGCACAAATACAATGAAACAAACAAAACAAAAACAACTTCTACTAAATCTAATGTGTACCAAAACATACTACTGGTTTATATCTTTGCTTATGACTTTGGGACAATTTTGTAGTCATCCACATACTTTAGGAGGTCATCCAGTTTTAGCCTCACAATAAACTCATGAGCAAGTTCAGACTGACACTGGCCCAAAGTCACACGTTAAGTAAAAGCTTGACAAGGTCTGATTCAAGTGCCATACTCTTCATTACGCTACACTGGCTCCCATACATAATGTCAAAGAATTCCCACTGATGTCACCAAGAACTATTTCTATTGTGATAACAACTATTGTTATAACAATCACAGAAAACAGATTTGATTTTAAAAAAAATCAAATTCCCAAGGTTTTTTAATGTTAGCATTTAACTGGCTGAAAAAAACTAATTTCCAAATCATGCTGACTCATGAATGAGAAAGAGAAGGAAAGAACTACTTCCCAGAAAACCACTAACAGGTAAGAACAACTACTAACAAGTAAGAACAAAATAACA